AAATTTAGAATATTAAAAATACGTATAACACCAAATATTCTTAGACTTCATTTAATTATGATTATTATTAGTATTTGAAAGATCTTCAGAGTTACGCAGATCCTCCGTATTTTCAGAATTCGCAGAATTCTTAGTATTTTCAGAATTCTGGATTAAGAGATCGTTATACTGCGTCATCCACGTGACTTCATTATGACTGGTTAATTGCTCTGTTGACAACATGTTCTTCAAACTCAGTATTTAGGTATGATTAACATCAATCGATGGATCGATTGATCAGTATTATTAATGTGTAATCTTTTTAGATTGTAATTGTTAGACACAGTATCAGAGTTTCAAATTTGATAAAGAAAAACTACTCGCGAATAAGCTTACTTTTTTGAATTAGGAGCTAAAAAACAGCCCATTTGGTTCAGTGCTATCTTCACGACACATCAAAAGCTCTTATGTATTAGCAAAATTTGTGATTAGTAATAACAACGTCGACTGCTATCCTGGACAAATTCAATACTTCTTTATACACACGGTTGATTTATCCAATGGACCACCATCTAAGCATTATTTTATAATAATTTAAACATTATATGATAGTTTTATGATTTTATAATAATTTAAACATTTTATGATAGTTTAAAATTTCACAAAAGCTTGTATATTTTACGATAATTTAAATATTTTGCAAAATGTTTACCATTTTACAATAGATTAAATTGGATAAACAGTTTTGATTGAAGTTTTACTATTATATATATTTTAAAGGATATGTTTAAACAAGCAAATTTAGACAGAATAATACAAAGATGAATTTTATTTATCTTGTAAATCGAAAAAAGGTTAAATCTAAATATAATTATAAACCATCAGATTTAAAAAATTTTCTTTTTAATTAAAAACAATGAATATATATTAAGTAGAAATGTATAATGAACTTGATTTTATCATTCAAAAAAAATAGAAGAAATCCCTAATATCTTTGACTTTACACTATAATAGACTGTTTGTGTTAATGAATCAAAGAAGAAAAAGATAAAAATATCATGACAGATAAAGAACTTTTTCAATATGAACTAGGTGAAATACATTGAATTTATTATTGTAAACCTTAAAGAATTCAATTATTTATAAAAAGAATAGGATGAATTAAAGCATAATATAATAAAAAATATTGATACAATATGTGGATTTGAACAATTAATAAATAATTCGGGAGTTATTGATTACACTTTAAGTTAGACAATTCAAGTGTAGTCATAAAAAAAAGCATGACCAAGAAATTCAAATAAAATATATAAAAGGATTTTAATATTGAAAAAAAAATTTCAAGAAAAAAATCTTGAAATTTTTAAAATGCTTAACATTTTGAAGCTTATGGTAAGGAAATTTTACAACGTTCTTAGGAAATTAAACCTTCGAAAATTTCACGCGTTATATTATGTACAATTTATTGTATTATGTCATCAGTTTATCGGATTATTGAAGTTAAAAAATGTATGTAAAAAAATTTAGATATAGCATTATTTATTTATGAAATATTTAACATCTTGTTTCGATTTAGCAAATTAATGGTTTTAACGAGAGGTTCAATAAGTTACACGTCATGAATGAGCGATTAAGACTTTCTGATAAGTTTCAGAATTTTTTGATGAAAAATTTATGATGATGAATGAGAGATCCGATGAGCGATTAAGCTTTAAAAATGAGAAGATTACCATTGTTGATAAACGAGTAAGGTCTTAAATGAAAAAATTAATAATGAAGAAAGACATTTCCCACGTTACTTAATATTATTTAAAAGTTAATCTAAAATGTTTAGGTACTCTCAAATTTGTCTATAAAAAGATGTATCATTGACAAGAAAATAATTAATGTACTTCACGTGATTAATTGTATTAATCCGGAATTGAAGGAGTGAAGTTGTTTTACTGTACCTTCATCAGGCTCATATTCGTTATTATCATTAGAAAGAGAATTTACTTCACACAACATATTTATTACGCCAAAAGAATTAAAAATAACGCGTAAAGACCGACTTTCAGATCAATCTGATTTCCAATCTTTAGATTGGACCGAAATCGGTCATATGATCGGATCGCGACAGATATCCCTAGTTGTTTTTTCTTATTTTCCCCCTTATATCCTGTTGATTTCTTTAAATATAAAAAAAAACATGATGGCGATAACCAACAAAGTTTTTAAAGAAAGCGAGAGTTGGCTAACGAAAGAACGTCAGAAATTTGAAAATTTTGCCGAAGAAAAGTTTCAAAAGTTTTCAACCGAATATCAGCGAGAGGTCGATTGGTTAAGAGATTATTTACAAGAGATCGTATTTCGGACAACAAAAGTTGAAAATTTAAAGAAAAATGAGCTTCTTGAAATTCCTAACCAACTTAAAGATAAACATGAAATTGAACCCCGCGAAAGTCTAACCGTTCCAACATTAATTACGCGTGAACGTAGCCAAATTATGCGAAATAATGTTGAAATTGTGAATACCTCTTCTGGTGGTGTAACTCAACAATTAAAAAGATTTGTTGTAAAACATACACCAAAATTAAAACCCGAAAAACCCGAAATCAAATCCTTGGTTCTCGCAGCTGCTGCCGCAAAAAGGGTAAATAGAAATAAAATGTTTGGTTTGTTTTTATATAATAATATTAAGGGATTTTTACATTTTAATAGGAAAAAGAGGAACAAGATAAAAGGCTTGTAAGAGCAAAGGAATGGGAGAAGGCACGTCAACGCAGACAAGAAGAGCAACAAAAACGTCTACAAAGTCTTAAAAATCGTGATGATGAGTTAAAAAAGAAGGTCAATGTAATATCAGACGCGAAAAGAAAGGTGTGTGAAGTACGGAATCCACCATATATTATGATTGATCCATTTCTCACATGCCATTATGTTTACCTATTATGTTAAAGGACACAGATTTAATGAGAAAAAAGAAGATTGATAATAATAAAATTTCAAAAGATACAATACAGAATCAAACAGGACAAAATCAGAAAGAACCTGATAGAACGGCTCATACAAATGAAAATACCAGCGTTATATTTAGTAAAAAAGTTCAATTATATGATCAACTTAAACGGCTTGGTCTTAATAAAAAACAAATTGAATTACCAGAAATAGATAGCGAGTATGTTTGATATGTTTTATTATCCGTGGAAACATTTGGACACATCTTAATTTGATCAATCTCTTATTATAACTTATTCTAGCGAAGATGAAAAAGTTGAAATCAAAAATAAACGACTACGTAAGGATTGGGAGCAAAGTCCCGAATTAAAGGCTGCTTTAATGCATCAATCTTCGATTGACCCCGAAACTATTTTTGGAAAAATTCTTCCACTTAATATAGATGGTTGGTTTATCTTCATTTTAAAACGCGTTTTAATTAAAGAAAATGTTATCCTTACGCGTTTTTATTATTTTTTTATTATTATTAATAGAAATCTTTGGAGAAAGAGAACATAGGCTTCGCCCGAGATCAAGTTCAGCAAATTGGTCAGGTCTAGATGCATTAACAGAGGAAGAAGAATTGGAATATAAAATACATATGGGATTTTTGTGAGAAGTAAGTAGTTGATTGTGAGAGAGAGATATATTTAAATTTATTATTAGATATTAGTATATTTAAATCATTTCATTTCATTTAATTACAACAAAAATTATCTTACACCTTGGAAAAAATCGAGAACCAATACACATTTATTATTTGATTTAAATAGGTAATAATTAATTTTCTCTTATAAAGGACCACGTTTTTTTCTTAAAAAAAAAAAAAAATGCATAAACGATTATTATAAAGTAAGTGATAAAAATTATCAAATTCAAAATTTTTTTTTTTTTTTAAAAAAAAAAAAATAATCACAAATATAGTAAAATAAACTATTAATTTTTTTTTCTTTTAATTATTTATTTTAAATATTTAAACAAAGATTTTTCCTTGAATTAGAAACTATAAATCGCGATATATATATATGTGTGTGTATATATATGTATGACAAAATCAAAAACAACAAAAAAAAAGTTTTCAACCTTTTCAAAATTCTTTTTTAATAAATATATATATATATATTATATTATTTTTACACTTTTTGTTTTTTATAGTCCGGAAGTTGGAAGTTCGTTATCTGCGGCAAATATGCGCACGCAGATAAGTCTAAGACGAATATATCGTCAAAGACCGAGTGGCCATCATAACCACCAAAAACAAATAGGCGAGAATCATACAACACAGTTGTATGATATCCTCTACCTGATGGTGGTGTCCCATAAACTCTGCGACTTTCCCATTCCATCGTTACTAATTAATTTAAGAAATTAATTATAATCAAAATATGAAAAAAAAATTCTCAAATGAATTAATTATACGTGATATCATTTACTTACCAAGGTTCAACAACAGAACCTCCGCGGTGTACCGCGTTCCGTCATGCCCACAAACCACAAATAAATAAGAGCCAACTTGTGTGGCTGTGTGAGAAAGTCGAGGACAAGAGGTTTCAACCGAGACTGGGATCCACGTATTTTCATCTAAAAAAATATATATATTATTATTTGATGATAAAAGCCAAAGAAAAGGTTAAAAATTAGACAAAAATTTACCCAAATCCAGCATGTAAACGTCACCAAAACACTCGTGGCCGTCACTTCCACCATATACAACTAACTTGCTTCCCACAAGATTACTAGTGTGATATCCACGGGAAATTGGGGGTGTCCCTTTTGATTCTAGTTTCTTCCACGATAGATTATTTAAGTCTGTTATATCTAGCGTGTAAACATCGTTAAGGGCGCGTACACCATCACCACCACCAAATATATATAGGTTATTGTTATAATAAGCTGAAGTATGCGCACGGCGTGGTGATGGAATATCACCGGTTGTTTGGGGCTTAGACCATGTTAGTGTATCTATAATGAAATAATCAATGCGTTAAATTATTTTATGAATTATTTGCTAAAAAAAAATTCTGATATACAAAATTATTTATACCTACCCGTATCAAAAATATACAGGTCATTAAAATACGTGGGCCCATCCCCACCCCCAAAGATGAACAACTTTTTGTCGACCAGTGTAGAAGAATGTGCACGGCACGATGACGGTGGCTCACCTATAGTTCGAGCCTTATTCCAATACATTGTATCTAATTAAACCATAAAATAAATTGAATAAATAACGTTATACATGCTTAAAAATGTAATTAATAAAATTATACATACCTGCATCAAATATGAAAACGGAGTTGTAACACGTTTTTGCGTCACAACCCCCAAAGACAAACATTAATTCTCCTACTAAGTTGACAGTGTGCGCTCTTAGTGCTCGGGGCGATTTCCCATAAGTTTTTATTTTTGACCAATACATAGCAGGTGCGGGTGCTGGATCTACATGAGGTGTGATAGGAAGGTGTGAATCATTTCGTCTTCCCTCTCCTCGATGATGATTATGATGATTATGTCGTCTCGTTGATATTATATTATTTAGATTATTTGTTTGTGTTGAATCACGATGATTAGAGGATACTAGTGATTGGCGGTTTCTATCTAAGGATTGGCCAGGCGAGGGAGGTCGAAAAGAATTCGAGGATATTGGAGGTGATGTAACGGGGGATGTGACCGTAAAATAAGGTGGTGATGTAACGGCGTAGGATGAATTAATATTATTAATATGATTAAAATTAGGATTAGTTGGTGTCGATTGTAATTCAGTTGCTGGTATCGAAGAGTTAGGTATACTATGCGAAGAGGTGGTAGTTGTTGACACGCTTGATGTAGGACAGATATTAGGAGGAGAATCTGATATAGAAGTTGAATGGGTTTCTGTGCCATTGTCACCAGGAATTGGCGGTAGTGTAGGACTATCCGTTTCTTCATTTAAAGAGTTCGACCTTCGTCTTCAAGTTAATTAAATCAAGTTCAAAATTTATTAAGCATTCAAATCTTATTGGCAATCGTTAAAGATGAAATCTTAATCCAGCTCAAATCTTTATGCGACGAGCGTATCGCACTTAAACATCATGTTGAAATCAATAAAAGTTAAAATAGTAATATTTAAACAGCTTACCTTGGGTATTTGCCAGCCATCAACGATCTACTGGTTTTAACGGATGTTAAAGACGTAGATTTAAAAATAAAAAGATGGCTGCTTAAATAGTCGAAATATATAATTGTTTTTAAAAACAAAGAGTTAAAGGTATGAAATTTAAAGTAGGTGAGTGACCATTAATACGAAAGGTATTCGACGGATATTTGGACATTGGATTCACACCAGAATCGATTTATTTGAAAGGTGTCGTACTCAAAAAAAGAATGTTAATTGAAACGTACGTCACGCAAATTCTGATGTTAAATCATTTTATATAAATCACGTGAATTTAAATTCAAAAAAAAAAATTGGAAATTAGAAGAAAAGATTGTTTTTCTTGCAAATAAAACATGAATCCCAATTAAAAAACTATTGAAAATCACATATTGCTGTGTTACTTGATTTCGTGTTACGAAATTAAAGCGTAAAAAATTTGTTAGTTTTATCGATAAATGGGAAATGTTTTCGCAAACTTATTTAAGATCACTTGGTAACTTTTGGGTGAGCAGTAATATTTTAATTATATATTCTTATTATCCCTTATGGAATTATAGAATTTAACTTTGAAAGATGATTGACGATTTTATTAAATTTTTCAAATAATACTTCAATGATATTTATAGTTCATAAAACGTGGAATAATTCCATCATCTTTGATATCAAATGTTGCCATTTTTCGAAGAAAGACAAAATTATTACATAATACAACAAAATTATTGAAGGATGAACCTGATGATCGGCTCATAATCGATCCTGATTCTGATGTATCTCCAAGACAATGTCAAATTGCAAGGGCATACATGAAAGTTAATAAATTAAATCAAAATAAGTGGGAAAAACCGAAATCACTATTCGCAAAACGATCTAACGTTGATTATTCAAAAAGGCATAGTGAGGATTTGTTATTATTTTCAAACAATGAAAAAGATAACTTACTTGGCACAAAATGTGATAAATCAAATAATCTTAGCCAAAGTGAAACTTCTAATGGTATGCCAAAAAGAAATTGGTCACGATATAAATCTAAAAATTTGGAGGATAAACCTTTTATAAACAATTTATCAAGGACGGATCATTTTAATAATGGTCCTGAAGATTTTAGGGAAAGATCGCAAAAATCAGAAGCATTTAATGCAGGTTTTAAAAACAATTGGTCCGGTTCAACTGATCCTAGAATTATGGAGAATTCTTCGGGATTGCAGTATTTTAGTAAAAATATAGACAAATATCCTTTTGGAAAGAAAAGGATGAGACCACCGATTGTTCGACATCAAAAAGAAATTGATCATAAGCTAGAAAGCAAAGTTGATTTTGTTTCCGCTTTAACTGAATTAAAAGCGATTCAGGAAATCAACGTTGAAAACGATGATCACTCATCTGCACTTCGTACCCGTCAAAAGTTCGCTTCTAAAAAAGATAAAGTTTTAGAGAAGCCAGAGCATCGTAAACCAAAATCTTTGAAAAAAGGACGCGAACTTTGGGATGAGGAAGATGGATATTTTGATGTAAATTATGAAGTTGATGGTCCAAAGAAAAAAAGTCAAGTTCAAGAAATTGAACCAAAGTTACAAAGGGAAGTATTTATTCCCGAAGCCATTAGCATCGCTAACTTGGCTAAAATGATTGGCGTACGTTTAGGTGGGCAGTTTACGCATTAATAAAAATTTAATCACTTTTTTTTTTTATTATATTCTTTAATTTTAATATAAATGCAGGCTTGAATGTTTCCTTTTGTAGCGACTTTTGAACAAAAGCTACAGAATCTTGGAATCGAATACGTTTCGCATGATCATTGTAAGTTAATTCAGAAATTTCTTTATTTTTTTTTCATTTATTTCACGATCATCTTAATAATCGTTGTTATTTTAGTGTTGAATGCTGAAGAAGCATCATTGATCGCTATGGAATATGATTTAAATCCTGTGGTCAATTCTGAAGCCGCAATTGATCTATATCCAAAGTACATTTTTTTAATATTCCTTTTGTGAAATGGTATTGCTGATTAATTTTTCTTATCAAAATCTTCATGTATTAATGTATATCAAGGCCGAAACCAGCCGATATGTCCAAGTTCCCACTTCGTCCTCCAATAGTTGCGATTTTAGGTCATGTAGATCACGGGTATGTGATTCATGATTATTTGATTATAAATATTTTCGCTCCTTGTTTTCAAACGTGCCTTTTTGTTTTATTAGTAAAACAACATTATTAGACACTTTGCGAAAATCTTCCATAGCCGCTGGAGAAGCAGGTGGAATTACTCAACATATTGGTGCCTTTTCCGGTAAGCGGTGTGTTTAATTATGATTATGTAATTCTTCTTTCTTGTTGAAGTAATTTCAAATGTGTGCATTAAATCTGTTAGTTTCGCTGCCTTCGGAAAAAACGATTACGTTTCTTGACACTCCTGGCCACGCTGCATTCTCCGCAATGCGTGCCCGCGGCGCTTTTGTAACTGACATAGTAGTTTTGGTTGTGGCAGCTGATGACGGTGTCATGCCCCAAACTCTTGAAGCTATTAAACATGCAAAGGATGCTGGAGGTAAAGATATATATATACCGAACCTTCCTTATAATTTATAAAGATGTGTTTTAATGACAATTTGTTCCATTAGTGCCAATGGTTGTGGCTATCAACAAAATAGATCGACATAATGCAAACCCGGTAAATGGAGGCAATAAATAAATATCGATTATCGTCAGGTATCTAACGATTTTTTTTTTGGTGGAAATAAATAAATTAATTAGCAAAAGGTTCGTGAAGCCCTTTTATCCAATGGAGTAGAATTAGAGGAATATGACGGAGAAACTCAATCAGTTGAAGTATCGGCCTTAACTGTAAGTCCATGAATTTTAATTTTCAAATCTTTCTTTTTTTTTAAAAAAAAAACGGGAATTTGTAACGTTTTTTATGGAATGTAGGGACAAGGATTGGATAGACTAGAAGAAGCAATTATAACGCTTTCTGAATTGTCTGAATTTCGTGCTGAAGTTGATATTGAGGCTGAAGGTGCTATCATTGAGTCACAAGTAGAGAAAGGAAAAGGGTATGAGACTTAAATGTTTAGATTATTAAGGAGTTTAAACTTTTCTTAATATTTTGAGCTGTTCTTTTTTATCTTAGAAACGTTGCAACAGTCTTGGTAAAGCGTGGAACTTTGAAGCAAGGAGACATTATAGTGGCAGGCACTACTTGGTGTAGAGTTCGTGTGATGACCGACGAGAAAGGCCAAATAATTAAAAATGCTTTACCTGGTACTCCTATTAAAGTAACGGGATGGAAAGAATTACCAGTTGCTGGAGACGAGGTGCTCCAAGCCAAAGATGAGGTAGTTATATATCTGAATATAAGGTGATTGTTACAAGATTTGTTATAATTCGCCTTTCTTTTTTGTAGGAACTCGCCAAAACTGTTGTAGCGAATAGAGCATTGAATAGGTCACGAGATCAACAACTCAAGGATTTAGAAGTAATTAATGAAAAGCGAAGGCAACGAAAGCAAGAGCTTGAGACCGAAAGAGCAAATGCGAGGAATTTCAAAAAAGAAGTATGGATGTTCCATCAAGGTTTACTTAAGGAATATCCAACGGCGGTTCCGCTTCAACCAAGTATAAAGGAAGAAAAACCTTTAGTGGATACCAACAAGAAAGGACTTAACGTTGTTGTCAAAGGTGTGTGACAATTTATTAAAAAATCGAAAAGAATTTTAATATGACTTAATTAAATCATTTAATTTATCTTTTCAGCTGATGTGAGTGGTACGGCTGAAGCTGTTGTAGATGCATTGTATGGTTTAGGAAATAATGAAGTATGTGTCAAAATAATTGATTTTGGAGTTGGAGATGTAACAGAATCAGACATTCAAATGGCAAACGTAGCTAAAGGTATTTAAATGACACAATCACAATCATTCTATTTTTATTTAAGATCTTTGATGTTTATCTCAATTTATTCATGTCGTATGGTAGCGATAATATTAGGTTTTAACGTTAAAGCTTGCAAAAAAGTACAATCACAGGCGAGGATAGATAATGTCGACATGAAGTTTTATAAAGTTATTTATCATCTTTTGGATGAAGTTAAAGAACAATTGGGCAAATTGTTGCCACCTATTTTAGAAACGCATGTCACAGGGGAGGCTAAGGTATTACAGATTTTCCAAATTAATGTCAAAAGCAAAGAATTCAAGCCAGTCGCTGGTTGCCGTATAACCAACGGAACAGTATTTAAGAATCAAAAAGTCAGAATCCTTAGAGATAATAATCAAATATGGGAAGGTG